TAACCGAAAATATATTTAAGAAATTACGATACTTCGTATTTGTTTAGCTAAACAATGAAGCGACTAAAGTAAGAAATTCGAATTTTCTTTTGTTATTGACAACGATTTTGTTTAACCTTTAACTATACGTCTGGTTTCACCGACAATGAACCATTTATCGGATCAATTATTCGATTAAAAAATGAAATACTATTCAATGATTGATAATGTGATATCTTCTATTGTAGGAAAAGCCGGACATGTATTTAATTCAAATACGATTATTACCGTTCGCAATTTAAATTTATATATAAATATGTTTCTCCATTTAATAAGAACAATCTAAAAGGTTATAATATTGTTATTTAAATAAAATATGATTATATTGATTAATTAATGTTGAATTAATTGAATTTTATCAGTTAATGCAAGTTATTTAAGTAACACAATTTTGAATTCAAGGTTAACTATATACGTTATTCCGTTTGACACTGCCCTCTGTATCTTGTATGATATGAAACGAAGAGAAGTTACAAAAGAATGACAGAAAGTATTTAAATCAATTCTTTCCTCGTAGATAATGCAACGAATTTGATAAACATTAAATTAAATCTAAAAAATTCAGTAGCTTCTTTCAGTGTTCTTGATTAAAATGCATCGTTCGTATGAAAAGTGAGTTATATAACCTTTCCAAAATTCAAGCATAAGACTTCTCGTATTCGATTTTTATTGTTCGCTAAAGTATTTTCATAAGTTATTGGAACTAAACATCTCATTTTCTGTCATAAATACTTTGATATTGACATAATCAATAATTCATTTATAATGTTCCGATTTTTAACGTCTTTACGTCCACAAGTTTACAAAGCGGTAAGTTATTTAACCTAACAAACATAGTTCTCGTTATTTCGATGTACAAAATTAGAAGAATATTTGAAAGGTTGTTTGAACATTCAAAGAACGACCCTGATAATGTAATTAATAGTAAAATAATAAGTACAAACAGATTTATATTTTTTGCAGGCCACTATTCTATCTTCTACAGAAACTAAGAATCAAATACTCGTAAAAAATGCACGCAGTATTTGCGCCAGTTCCCAACTATTTTGCTGTCGACCTCTGGTTCAAAAACCTGCTCCTGATTTCTCCGGAACAGCCGTGGTTAACGGTGATTTCAAGGAAATAAAACTAAGCGATTATAAGGGCAAATACGTTGTCCTTTTCTTTTATCCCTTAGATTTGTAAGTGAATAGCATAGGAAAGTCTAAGAGAAGTTGGTTGTATTGGAATTAAATTAATATTTTCATTTCTAGCACATTTGTATGTCCTACTGAGTTAATAGCATTCAGTGAAAGGATCTCGGAGTTCAAAGCTTTGAATGCACAAGTGATCGGAGTATCTACAGATTCTCACTTCAGCCATCTAGCTTGGATGAACACTCCAAGGAAGCAGGGTGGTCTGGGTGGTGATTTAGGCTATCCCCTTCTTAGTGATTTTAAAAAAGAAATATCATCTAAATACAATGTCCTACTCGAAGACTCTGGTATAGCCTTACGTGGATTGTTCATCATAGACAAAGAAGGAATATTGAGACAACTTAGTATAAATGATTTGCCAGTTGGTAGAAGTGTTGACGAAACACTGAGGCTCATCAAGGCTTTCCAATTTGTGGAGAAACACGGGGAAGTGTGTCCTGCTAATTGGCAACCGGATTCAAAGACTATTAAACCGAATCCAAAGGATAGCAAACAGTACTTTGAATCTGTGAATAAAGCATAAAATGTAACATATTGCATTAAAATATAATGTACCCTAATGTAAAGTAATATATTTATATATATATATATATATATATATACACATATTATATATAAACCACTGAAATAATCAAACAGCATTTTATTTACCATCAATGGTCAGATTAAAAATATTCATGCATTTCCCATAAAGTACACTAAAGTAAAGATCTCGAAATAGCTTGAAAACCCGACGTTCAATAATGCCTTTTTAATTATTGTATTCGAACGAATAAAATATATTTAAAGCAGAAGTAGTGTTCCAGTTTTTTCCTTCAATTTGTGTAAACGTCCGTTCACTGTCAACGTTGCAACGTTCGGAGAAGGGAACCGAACAAACGGCAATGCATGCGATTTATGCAATCACGCTGATCAGTAGACCTTCATCCAATAAGAGTGTACCTACTCGATTGTTTCAATCGGCAGCGAAGGGAACAGGTGCTCGCGATGCTTGAGTAGAAAGTAAGAGGGTGGAATCCGAAGAGAGGGAGAACACCGATCTTACGCCGGTTAATTTGATTTGCGACGATGGAAGCAATATCGGTAGGTCAAATCCTTCGAAGCACGTACGCTCCGGATTACCATTTCGCACAACAATAAACTAACTTCATTAGAATAATGTCTCATCGACTTCCCCGACTGTACAGTCGGTTCTCAATTAACCATCTAAAATGGACGTTGATTCCCGTTATCTCCATAAACGATAGACATCTAAATATTCAACGGTCGAGAACGGCAGTCGGAGATAAGAAAATGAAGCTCGGGACGACCGGTTAACTTCCGTTCGCTCGAAATGTGCGCCCTTTAGAAGTTAAAGTACCAAATTAGAATCTACTTACAGTGGCCCAGGTACTGAACACTATCCCGGTTTCCGGATTTCTGATAAATTTATAAGAGAGAGCTTATTATTCGGGAGAGATGCCGGCGACGCCCTCGAGGAAGGGATAAAGTAACCGGAGAGGAGGGTTCAGGCGACGCAAGGTAGACGGGAGAAGCGGGGGAAAAACTGAAAAGCGACGCCTGAGATAAACGGCTCATCCTCTCTCACCCTACGAAATCCAATCTTGTCCTTTACGAGCTGAGATCTCCGAATTAAACATATTCCAGCGAGCAGGCTGCGCTATGAAGTACGATTTTCCGGAGGACATCGACGTCCCCGCGTCGGAATTGATTTTCGTCTGTTGGCCTGTTTAGAAAATACGAGTGTACGTATTCGGAAACGCGTGACTCGACGATCGTTGCGCGATTAAATTGATCTTCGGAGCCGAAAACTTATCATCTCGATCACGCGGACCCTTCGAACGTTCGACCCGTTTAAAAACGATCCGGACAGTCGGTTTCGAATATTCCCGAGGAGCGGAAAGTTAAGGTCGCTTAAACGTTAGTTGAGGAACAACAAGAGCAGCAATTAGAACGGGAAGCCGTACACCGCCGCCCCCGACAATCGCGGGGGTGGAACAAACTGACGACGATAGACGGGCTAGGAAGTCGATTAGACCAGGAAAATCCCTCCGGCCGGGCGACGACATAATCCGCGCTCACTCTTGATCGGACGAACATTACGACGAATTGGCCGAGCGTCAAAAGGAAAATCGATAAGCGGCCGGCACCGGCCGGGAAACCGCCGGCAAAACGCCAGGGGAATAAAATATGAGAAAAAGAAACAAATGGGGCAAAACGAAGAGGAGACGGGGAAAATGGCGAGAGCGTGATTCGATTCGCAAACTTTCCAGGAGGGACGGCTGCGAACCAATGGCGAAAAACTCGAACCGACTATCGCGGCCTAAAGCTGCTAGCTTCTTTCTATCTTCTTCAGCCGGTTACTCGCCTCGTCTTTGCGTTGCAAGGGGAACACGCGTGAATTTCGAGAGTAAAAATCTCGCTGGAACGAATACCGAGACGACAGTCATGGAGACAGCAACGATCAACAAAAGATTCGTTGGAGTCTCGTTAACACAAGTGCCATGGTGGTCGCCGGTGACCGGAGCTTCCAAGATGCTTGAAAACAATTGCCATAAGGAAATTGAATCAAAACATTCAGTAACACAAGAAGAGAGATAATAGTGTAATATGTGTACTGTAATATCAAAACGTTAATAATTATTTCCAATACTATTTTCTTCTATTACCAAGGGATTAATCGTAGTGAAGATTTCCAACACGATTCAACAAATATATGTATTACTCGGTTCATTCGAGTTCAAAGTAAACATTATTCCTCTGTAACCAATGATTATACTTAAAAGGAAATATAGGAATAACATATGCTTAGAATTTTCCTCTTTTCCGAATAAATTATTAACGACGAAGTAGCTGTATCGATCAGAGTTGAGGAAGAAATCATAGGCCAAGGGGTTGAGGGTTGATGCTAGGTGTCGCGAAGAGGCAAGCGACGAGTCTCGCACGCGTGTCCCATCAGCAGCGAGGATCGGGCCGTTTAACGTCATTAGGCGTCCGCGCGAGGAGCATCTGGCCTCCGCGTTCGAACGGCCGGAGAAAAGGCATGCCTGGCTCAAACTCGTCGGTTATTGTCAGACGGGCGATCGAAGCCAGGCGAGCGAGCGAGCGAGCTCGCGCGTCAAAGAGAGGATCCTCTATCGTTTCTCGTGAAATGGAACTCGCGTCGTTTGAGCCTCTTTGGTCCCCTCGAGCCTCGTGCCCGTCTCAACCCCTCCGCACCTTCTGCCCGTTCCCTCCTTTTTTCCCCGCGGAGCCGTCTAATAACCTCTCTCCCCGGCTCCTCGCGACTGCCTCGCGAAAAGGAA